ATAAACACGGCTTTCACACCAAATCCAAATCATTCGTTGGCCACCCTGCCTCAGCTTCCAGACGATTTCGAGACTCGCAAAGACGATACGACAAAGTAAACACTGAGCTGGCATGCGAAGCATGGGCCTAATCTAACGAGACCCGTAAAGTGAGATGACGCCGCTCATTGATCGGCAGAATTCGTCTGATCTGAAAATCCATCGACGAAAGTCATCATTACTTATGTGATGTTGCCATCGTACACCAGCAATTCTCTGAAGGCACGGGTGTTCAAAAGCACACCCCGTGAGCATCTTTTGCAAATAGGCCAATTATCCCAACCACAGAGCGGGACCGCCCTCATCGTAACAAAGGGCATCAGCCGTACACCTGTACGCCTTACCGACGCTTCGCTGCCACGCAGACACCACCAGTCGCGCGAGGCCTAAGGTTAATGCGATGATCGCCCGGTCTCCCACCCAGGCTCGAACTCGCGACCTCTGGATTGCAAGACAGACGCCTTGTACTTTCGGCCACGGGCAGGTCCTCATCATAGCCATTCAGAGAGTCTTAGGTTGCGTCGACGCCAGAGATCGGTGAAATTAGCAAAATCAAACCAAGCTAAAAAGACGCGTGGACAGGTCTTATCCGTTAAACCGTTGTTACTGGTGCAGCTTCCGACGTAAACGAACTTGTTTACCACTTTCAAAGGATAATCCTTAATGTTATGAGACGGAGCAGCTCCAAGACACTCCTGCATGAAGATCTTACACTTCGATGGGGCCGAAGGTCATTCCGAATTGGGAGAAGCAGACACTTTCAACCTACGCAGTATACTTATGACGGCTTGCGAGGAATCGCGAATTTCTACTGTCGTCTGCGTACTTAATTCGCAAAGTCCGTCCCCGAAGGCATCTCAACACCACTGGGTTCCGCAGTTGTCCAGAGCACACTCCAGTATGTCATCCGTTTATCATCATTCATTATACGCGTTAGCTAGAAGTGGGAACACCTCAACTATTGTGCCCCAATACACGAGAGGAAAATAGAGACCCAGCATAGGCGCGCCAGCTGTGCCACCAGTATCGGACGAACATCATTTCGTAGGGCTAGCAGCCGAATGCTGTGTCAGTAAAAAGTTATATTCTGCTTCTGGAATGAGATCGTGGTTAGAGAGAGAGGGACAAAGAAACTCACAACACGAACGCTCCTAACCACGTCAGCCGACCGTGTTCATCGTCTTTCGGACCTCGACCGGGGACCCGATATGATCCAACCGAGTCCTTTATTTCTCTTGACTAAGTCGTCGCTTGGCAACCCCACCTCTTCTTCCATACACGCTCCGGTCGCGCAAACAATGCACCTCGTGTGAGCCGGTGGGCTGGCATGCATAACACGTTGCCGAGGCATCGGAGCCTGATGCATGAAGTAATGGTGCTGAGCGATTCATTTTCTGTGCCGTAAACAAGGTGTCCAACACGTGGTGTTCCCACCACATATGAGCCGAACTGCGAAGACACCAGTGGTCGAAGGTAACTAGTCACTTTATGTCGCCTGATCTAAGGGACCAGATTTCACAACCGTACAGCAGGGTCGAACGTACCGCTGCGAGAGTGATGTCGCCCCGACGCCATAGGTGGCGAGGGTTAGCAAAAGCGCCTCGAGCTTTTGCTATACGATTTGTGATCTCGTCTTCGATTCCACCGGCGCTAATACAACTGCCCAGGTAGCTGCGTTTCTGTACGACTTCTGGCTGATTCCCTCCAAGAGTCAGCGCAGGAGGAGGTTCCTGTCAATCTTGGAGAAGAGCTTTACACTTTGAGAGTGCAAAGCTAGGCCCGAAATGGCCGACAGCCAGTGCTATCTGTCTAGTGCTGCTTGGCACGTTTGTGGGCTGTAAGATCGGGGCAATATCGTCAGTATATTTCAAGTTAAGTAGATGTTCGCCTGGGATCAGCTCCACACCTAAGTTTTGTCCTGTAAATGCGATCTCCAGAACGTCTTCATTGGCGAAGTTGAAGAAGAACGGTGACAGACGGCATCCTTGTCTCACACGACGGGAGATACTGAGGGGCGGCGACAATGTTGGGTCACCAATGTATGTGACGGTGCTCCGACAATTGGTACAGCGTGAAGATGTGATCAATGCAACCCCGATCTCGACGAAACTCCGCTTACTCTTCACGAATCTGGCTTTCGCGCGTGCCAGTAAGTCTGTGAAGAACGACAAGGCAAAGTAACCGAGGTAATTGAGTTTAGATAGGTTTGGAAACAGTCGGTTGGTAACTAAGATCAGATTGATTACTCTAGGATTGTGCCATTCTGAACATGTGCCTCCTTTGAAAATCAGGACGATAACTGAACGGCTCCAGTCTGTTGGGACAGTTTCTTGCTCACACAGCTTTACTAGTAAGTAGTGCCAATCATCCGCGGAAACTGGTCCCCTTACTTTGAAAAGTCCTGAAGAAGTCCATCTGCTCCTGCGTCGTTATACATTCACAACAGTCATATCTCACGTTTGATGTTTGCACATAAAAGCATGTCCAAGGGGGAGAGGTAGTCAATGGTCGAAAAGAAAGCTCATAACTCTGCTTGATTAACTTCCATGTCAAAGTATTCCGCCCAACCCTCCAAGTGTTTTGACAGGCTGCGTATGGGTTGTCCACTTTCGCCGCGTATAGTCTCGCGCAAATTATCTGTCCGAGCACTGCTGTCCATTGCTCGTGTGTGGTGGCGGCACCACGTAAGCAATGTGGAATTTAGACAGCGTGTCTTGGGACAAGGAAGCTACTCGCTCCAGGAGCTCATCTTATTGCATCAACTGCGGTAGGTTGGACACGTATTGCGCATGCCTGTTCAGCGTTACCCGCGGTTTGCGGTTGCTGGACATGGCTGGAAGAGACGGTATGGTGGACAGCCTGCAAAGTGAAGAATCCTGAGCCGGTTGTTGTCTGCTTGGTTGGGGTCCAAAAGATGCAGAAGATCGCTGATTGGAGACCTTGGAAGCCATGGCTCAAGATCAACGTCAGTGGCGGACGTACGCATCGGATTTGCCTGTCACTGTGGCCCCCCATAGGACAAGCACATAACGCCTACGCCTACAGAAGGACTATGGGTGGCTTGCGCTGCAACATCCACAGCTCCATGCACACAACCCATATCCAGTGTAAACCCGGAGTAATAAACCAGGCTTGTGGATAGGAACCGCGTTTCATCAACGGAGCCAGGTCACACTCCATCATGCACAGCAGTAGCATTCCTGTTTATCTAAATTGGGAATCATGCGTATCGGACGTACCCAAGGCAGTGGCTAATCCGTAGATCGTTCCACAATGGATGCATGGAACAAATCTTTGAGCTTAGCACGGCCACAAGAACCGTGCCTGGAGCCAGTACAGACGTGGTGGTAGGTAATAGACAGGTAGGCACCTTGTCAACATGCACACCAAGCGCAGTCACTCCGGGGATATCAAACAAGCAGCACAGAATTTGAAGGAAAATAAACACGCAATATTTACATGGATGGAATAAACAGCAGTAGCAGAACTGAGCAAACCAAAGACACTGGATTACTTCTTACCAAAATTAGGAAAGTTTAGTTTAAGCGTTAGTCTTGACATATCACCGTACTAGAATTAACTTGAGAAGGTTGCAAGGGTAACATAGGTCACAAAAAGAACAAAAGTGTAGTGGGCAATACTCGGAGTAGTCGTGAAACACAACTGAGCTAGATAAGGCCAATAAGAGGTAAGTTAGATGTGGATCTTACGTCTTAGACAGGTGTAATACAGATAATACATGGCATTAAGTCAGTAGTTAGTCACTCTACAGTGAAACTATACCCAGTCGAACTGCATAATCGGTAGAATACCAATGACATGTTAGATGACAGAGATACAGCAAGTAACTTTTTGAAGTTACCAAGAAAATGGTGCACTAATGCTGTATATAGTTCCAATATTTCACCAGCCGACGCTAGAAGCATAGAGGGTGAGCGATGTGCTTTAAATCCAACACCTCTAGTTTGTGCCGGTGTCTTCGTATGCTGCTTGGTGCGCGAACGTGCAGCAGCGGCCTCAGTATGGGGAAGTGGTCCAGGTGCAATATCCGGTGCGTCATTATGAGATCAACTCGAAGCAGACGATATGATAGAGTATACAGCCCTAGACTACATCAGTCCTCGTACGACATATCCCGTAAACTGCGGATATGCCGGGTCGGTGCATCCTGGACCCGTTCCGGACTCTGCATCTGACATATTGTGATCAGACAATAGGCGGGTGAGCCGTACTCAAGCACCGGTCTTATCATGGAAGAGACGGGTGACAATTTCTTCAGACCAAGTGCAGAAGCTGCGTCTAAGTGCCCAAAGCAGGCGTAGTCCGTTTAGATACAGTGTGTTCGTATTGTCGACAGACTTCAGATCACAGTGTGAGAGTACGCCTAGATCCTTTACTGGACTGGTGGGATGCAGCGGCTGGCCGGTCAGGATGTACGTACGCCCATAACCACCCCTCTTTAGGCTCATAAACGAGGACTTGGCCGGGTTGATCGGTAGGTCAACTTCTGCAGACCACCGGGGGTAGGCGATCGATGTCCTGTTGAAGGACGTCACAGTCGTCGGGAAAATCAATAACCTTACAAATCTCCGAGTCGTCTGCAAACAGTGCTGGCAAACTGTGCGTTTGTGAACGACATAACTCTCTTTGGATAGAGTTCGGCGAGTATCTAAGCCTTACTGAACGTGCTTCACATTTTCACAGGTACTACTGTAGGACTGAGTCGAAACGCCATCAGTATTCGCAACCATAGAAAAACTGCTCGACGTCACCAATAGACTGTTATTTTTCCGCTGGCGGATACATAACAGAAGAGGTTACCGTTAACATTTCTGAAATGTTTTACTTTTTCATAGTCTCAACCACTTATAAGGATAGCGGGAAATATGATTAATGGTGCTGCCAGTATTACTTTACGATTCAGATACCTGACCGCTATGCGTTGAGAACATTGAAAAGATGGTCATTTCTAATCATCGATGCATAGGTAACTGAGTTGCACTGAAGTTCTTCATCTAGGGTTTAGTAATAGATTCTTTGGTGCCTCATGTGCTTCGCACTTTTTAGAAGTGAGTGATTTGAGGGTCTACTGCAGGATTGGGTCGAAATCACCGGTCCTAACTATCATCGAACAGACACTGGATGTGGTCGACCGATTTACTTACTTCGATGATTGCGTCACCATAGATGGTTATATCAATGAAATTGTTTCGTATAAAAGCGAACTGCGCGTGCCTTTTCACAGGACTGATCGCCCATTAAGATGGCGGGTTATCAGCTTTTCCGTCAAAGGTGTGAAGGCTGCGTTGCGGCCGGTGTTACTGTATAGATCAGAAGCGTGATTGATTCCTACTGAAGTTATGAAGGGATTTGTCATCCTTGATAACCGATGCTTACTGAGCAATACACCAGGTGAGTTGTCCTGAACTCCACCTGCTGGAGTTTACTAAAATGAAACCGCTTACATCGTCTGGATCATACTCTCCGTAATCCTGTAAACCGTCCATCTCAGTATCCATTGAGCTAAATCGCGATATGGACGGTCGATCAAATAGCACCAGTTTAGGGTTTATATGCTCAGATTAGGTGGCTTTGAGTGTGAACGCCATGGGGTGCCTTTGACAGTGTAAGAATACAACAATTTACTAGTTTGGTGCTCTCCGTTTGAAGGTAGTGAACCTCTGGCTAGCAGGGTGCAAATTCGTCAAATCTCAGTTGCGGCTACCTAAAGTTATAGGCTTATCATCTGTTGTGTTTTCGCTGACAGGACGGGTAACCAGTGTTTCGAGTCGCCTACTAGCTCTTTTCTAAATCAGAAGACAAGCGCTTTAAAAAACAGATTGAACCCGGAAAATACACTGCTGAGATAAAGTAGTTCTGGATTTCTGGTTCGATATGAATAACCTAGAGGAAGGTGTCTTGCTGCCAGAAACCATCAGATGGTGCTGAAATGCTTTTGTTGGCTTACTCCATTGCAAGACGCTCTTGTTAGCTTGCCGTTGTGGCACTCTGCCAGTTGTACACTTGTCAAGTGTTCAATATATATATATATATATATATATATATATATATATATATATATATATATATATATATATATATATATATGAAACGCGTGTAGAGTGCTTTTCCGGTCGTGTGGCGGCTGTCTGAGTGAGTCTAGATGTGACGAATTTCTACCTATAAAATTCTTTCATTGTACAACTAAGCAACCGGTGTGGTTTGTTGAACTGATTGCTGAGTTCAAATGCTTGATTTACCCATCGCCATTTTTGCTTGGCGCTCGTTTCGGTTGCAACTCGCGACTGCCGTGTGCTGTGCATGCTCTGTTCCCCTAGCTAGAGTGTCAACGGTGTCGTTCCTTTATAGCTAGATAACAGGGAATCTTTTACTGTACCAATAAAAGTTTCCCTGCAACTCGATCTGTCTTTTCGAATCGCTCTCCGAGCTCCCGGTACACGAAACTCCCTAAACCGTGGATTCAACTCGACCACATCATTATCAGCCAAAGACGATGCGCGCCTGAAAGCTTGCCCATTGGTCCGGAATTGCTACTTGTATTCTGATAGCGCTTTGGTGTGTGTGTGTTAATGGCGTTCTTCTAATCTTGATTTCCCGACTTGATAGGGCTGTTGTACTATTCCATCTTCAGTAGAATGTACTTGTTCTCACTGTTTCCTTTGTTCCACGATAATCGTCATCTCGGTTCACAAAAGCATCTTAACCCGCAACATACCCCAATTGGCAAACCGAGCTCATGTCGAGATAAAGTAGCGTCTTGACAAGTCTGCAGTCTTGATACTCGTTTAACCTTTTAAATCTTTAAATGGTCGACTGTTTTGGTCTGTCCGTACTTTTTAATAATATACGAAAACCAAAGCAAAAAGATCTCCCATGTACTCAACCTGAATACAGGCTTATAACCCTGACTGTGTTTGCACGGTAGCAGCCACCAAGTTAAAAATGTGGTGTGTACATGTTAACTTTGCCATTATTTCGAAGGAGATTCGTCGCAGCTATACTATCAGTGAGCCACTGTACATCCAGAAAGGCATTTGACGGCTATTTCGCTCTTTCGAGAATCGTCAGCAGTGTTCATTCCATCTGTCGGGCTAGAACCCGCTTTCTGATTGTGGTTAAGACCAGTCACGAGAGACGAGCAACAGCCTCGCGACTAGGGAACGAACATTTACGTTCTCGGCTTGATTGACTTGTCTTCTGCATCTCCATAGCCTTGTTACCCGTTCACAACATTCAACAGTATCTGTGCATGGTGACAACAATTGTTTCTAACGCGTTTAGTAGGTTTCCTGTCTACTTTCATTATCACTTGTCGTTTTATGCTTTATGAGATTCAGGAGTTAAATTTGAAGTGAATTTTTACTGTATGCTTGTCTACTTTCTACTTCAGATCACCCTTTTGGTTTCGTGAGAGAGCTTATCGGTGAACAATCTCACTAAGTGCAACTTTATTCCGATGTCAGGTAATTAATTAACTTTATCTACATGTGTTGATCAGATTCCGACTCTACGTGGCCCGCCACCGATGATTTCGGGTCTAGGTTTTTGGAAATCGACGAGTATGCCATTGAAGCCCTTGAGACAGAGACATTGGTATGTTTTCTTCCCCCAAATATCGCTCACTTTTCCTGTTTGCAAACCCGAGATTTGTCGTTCCGTTAAACTACTAAGGGTATTGGCGGTATGCAGGTACCTCGCACTGACGCTTCTCTGCCACACGACCGGCAGTCGCATGCGACGTCACCCGCACCAACGCGAATCCGCACCTGTGACCTGTGCTTTATAGCCGACTAAACCTGGGCCACCGGTTGGCTGACTAAGCCCGTTTTCATATTTGGGCACTCTTTGGCGTTAACTTAGAATTATATTGTTGCTCTGTAAATGCTTTATATTGGGGTCCCACAGTTGCCGGTCACTGCACGTGGGCCTGTATGCTGTAAGACCGACGAGCGTTTGAGCTAAATTTTGACTCATACCAACTATCACTTAGGAATGAGGTGAAACATAGTATCACCATCGTGTGGTGTCCCCCTAAACATGGAATGTTAGTGGATCACCGTTTCGTGGCATGCTGTAACACATTTTTATGAGATCCTTGAAAATATGCACTACACTTGTAATATCCTATCTGTTTTCTACTTGTTTTACATCCATACTATCGTTTTCTCAGCTTGGTCGGGATGATGCTACCGAGCCGAACTACGGTTTTCCTGAAACATCCGCATCCCTGGAACCAAACAGCGGAGTTCGAACAAATCGTGGTCTTCGACTTCGATCGCTCATCGAATTGGAGAACGAATATGAGGAGGATGACTGCACGGTATCTGCATTATATCACGCGCGCCCGAAGAGAACCCGCGTGTATCGACCTCCCGTGAGTAAGATAAGTAACGCACGATCGGATAGCGATGAAGAGTCCAGCTTCAAGAGGTTTCATTCTTTAAAGGCCACTACCGCTCGTCAGCGAAGCCTGCAAATGCAGCGGATTGCAAGTCAACCATCAGAACACAACCATTTAAATCCGGCTGAAACAGATCCGGCTTTTCTGAGTCTGGAGAGTTTGGAGCCCTCAAAACCTAGCTCAGTACCTACCCCTGAGCAGCTGGCCGCCAGGCAACTTAGTATAACACGCCGCCGGGAATCTGCCAAGCGAAAAGTGGAATTACAGAAACGACAAACGGTTGAACGTCTCCTGAAAGTAAGTGAAAACTACATTGGCCTCAAAGCTCACTTCTGTTCAGTTGATCGAGTGTGGTCCATCTATCGTAGTTCGATAGTTCTGTTTGTCGCGACCCGCTTCGCCGGAATAATACTGAGAGGTTACGTGATATCGTGAAGTTTCTTGAAGCTTATCTATGATTCTGTCAAACTTGGTCGCATCCAACCATTATGCAAGCGCTGTTGAATAGGCCGAGGCGTAGTACTGCACGACTAGGCATGAGCTTCGCTTCTTCAAGGTACAACACTCCTCCACAGGTCTGCATCGTCTCATAGTCGTTTCTTATTATCATCGAACAGCCGCTTGAAGTTCCCGATAGATTCACTTTCCTAGATAGCTGTCGTTTATGGTGGTCTCGTCACCAAAGAGATAACTGCACACATCGCTGTCGTTCGTACGGCTTCTTAAAGCCTTGGTTGATTGTGGGATGGTAATAATTTAGCTTAATGGTTAAGGGAACGGATTACAGCGCCACGGTGCAGTCAGATCAGTGACTTGGACGCTGCGCATCGAGGACTAATTGTGTTTAGTCATTGACATCGGCAAGTATTGCTCATTTCTGGCGTGAGAACCGAGTGTGTAATAATAGCAGTAGACCCATCGGTGCCTTGTTGGACCGACTGATGAGCTCGGATCATTCCCGCTGGCTCGATTACGGGCCCCGCACACCTATATTGCATCAGCCTCTGGGTGTATTGTCCACTCATCCTGAAGCTAATTGCATGAAACCCCAAATTAATCAAACGACAAAAGAGCATAGAGAGACACCAAATGACTGAGTCCTGTTGGTGCTTGCTGTTTTCCCGGATGGGATCTTTGGGCTAGACCTTTAAGTATGCCGTCTGACGATATTAACTTTGTGTTTTCCCACCAAGCTATTGTTTGTTATTTCTTTGGCGACTCATACCAAGGCTACGAATCCAGCACATCTCAGTACACTGGTCATAGGCAGCTGAACTCAACTCATCTATAACGGTACAGCACTACTTTGTACTTGTACTCTGTACCTTGCTGCCGTACAGACTAACATCAACAGAGACGATAGAGTAAGGAGTTTCGGTGACCTGGCGCGGAGAACCACTCAAGATAAAGCCATTCACACCTTTGCGAACTCATACACAGCTGTAAACCATTTGGATATTAATCAGCTCTATCGATCTCGATATAAGGCCATAGAAATGGTAGATTCAACCTCCTCCATCCATGCATACAACATGCTGCAATCCGACAGAGGATGAACTTGAACCAAGTATCTTAGACGATTCGGATTCAGTAGACGCTCCATACGGTCTGCGGCTAAATACTAACCAACGGACTTCACCAGTGCCCGTCCAGCACTCTTAACAGATATGGGCGACAATCAGTAGACACTGATATTCAGACAACCAGCGTCTGTTCTAAAAAGTAACCCTAATTGTACCTTAGTTTGGATCGGCAAACTCATTATTTGTCCCCTCTGTGCTTTGCGAAGCCACGCTAACATTACTGAAACGTGTAATACAACCATCCATAGTTTGACTACCAATGCTTATACAGTCTCTGAGGAAAGCGAACCTATCAACCAATTTGAAAGGTTGTTCGGTGGAAGAACTGGCGATGCTGACCCAGTCTAGCAAAATACTTTGTACCATGGTGATGCAAAGCATTTCACAACAATGCGTTAGTCTCTCCGGAGGTGCTTGTGCGGGATCTAGGCTTATCTCTACAAACCGAATCATCGACTCAATCTATGCTTATTACTTGACCTCCTGACAAAAATTCCCCCTCCAGAATAAATGGGTAGGCCAACGTCATAGGCTAGTTGGTTAAAAAAAAACTAAAAAGAAGCGGAGAAACAGAGCACCGCTGATGGACTGTGGTGGTCAATTTGGCAGTGGTCCATGATACCTTAAGTTGCACCAGTTGTTTGATGGGGCTGCTACTCCATATGACAATAAATGTCACATAAAATAAGTCTTTCCGGGTTGAAGCCGATAACTACAGAGTGTCCCTGGACAAACACTGATCTATTTGACCTGCCCTATTTGCCCTCTATTTGGCTGCCCAAATCGTCAGTCTTATGTGTTGCTTATCTTTGCTTCGGTTGTCCTTCATACAGTGACTCGACTCCCGTTTTTTGTCTCCGGGTATGCGATGACTGTGTCAGTTGAACAAAGTTAAATGCTCTGTGCGAACCCATCTCTTTCAATGGAGGAGAAACCAACCACTGAATGATTTTAAGTTTGTCTCCTATAAAAACACCCCAACATTCTTTTCCTGTTTGTAGATTAACGCAGACTCGGATAATTTCAGTCGTCGTGGAAGGGGAAGAGGTCGAGGAGCCAGAAATATCTCACACTCAGTGCCTGCTCCATCTGTGTTATCGCCGATTGTGGATGCACTTATTTGTGCAGATGAGTGCGATAATTCTACTAACGTCAGTCGTATTGAGGATGATGAGACTTCGGAGCCGGATCTAGATACATCAGGAGCAGATGCCACTCTGAACACACGCACAGCATTGGCGGAGCAACACGGTTTATCTGGATCTAGCATGGATCCACCGTTTGAGTGTATCCGCCTCATATCTTCCTCACGTCTATCTCCAACCAATCGCGTTTGTTTTCCCACATCTTTACTTTCATCCGGAAGCAATGTTAGCAGTGATCTTTCATGGATTTTAACCCCGAAACCCCCTCCGATTGTCCCAGAAGCACAGCCCTGTGCAGCCGGATGTGGTCGGACCCGCCGCTACAAGTGCTCCAAGACCGGCGTGCCTCTGTGTAGCCTAGCTTGTTACAAACAGAATCTGGCTAACTGGGCTGTAGCTCACTGATTGTATAATACACTTCGCCTTCCGTTGCATCGTCATATTTTGTTGGTCAACTACTTGATCGAAAATACGATTATCTGTGGGATCTGATACAAAGGTAAAACTTGTCCGCTCATTGCTTTACTGACTTGCGACAGCTTTTGGTGTTGCCTGAATTACTTCCGGCCCCTCATCTAATAAACATGTCAAAAATCGCCTTTCCGGTCGCTCAGTTACAATTAGCACAATGCTCATCTTATATGGATTATGATTGATAGCTTTGAGCAAACTGGAGTTGTCTGATTGTTCAGAAACATAATAGCTTCTTCAGAGATCATCAAAACTTTGCAGTTGTTCAGATTAGAAACGAACTACTCGAATCCCACCTTTTAACCTGGTAACCATATGCAGTGCTGCGTTATCTATGGCTGTTGGTGTGTAGTCTATTTGAACTGTCGCAGCCTATCGTTATTTATCTGCCATGTGACTAGACGCGGGCGGGTACTGGAAAACTGCTGCAGATATAGCGGTTTCAACTGGCATACAGCTGGGAAAACTTCGTTATTATCAGCGCAATAAACCCCGATTCCAAATCATTGTCAGAGTTGATATTCTGACTCCGATAAGCGAGCGATTTAAGCATTTATGTCGTCCTTAAAACCCGCGATGACGTGCACACAGCAATCCGATTTAATGGGGATCGCCATTCACACAGTTCATCCTCGACAGCCTCTGGATCGCAGTCGGTAGGAACGCAGGCTGATACAACAGAGATATCCTGATTTCGGCCGCTGCTGGATAGCGCTTACGGAAACATAAAGCCGAATCGCACAAATTTGATCGTCCATTGAGGTTCTGTTTAGGACAGCATACTCCGCCGGTAATTGCGAGAGTCACCTTAGACACGAACTATATATCGCCCCACATTGGTCCCGCAGTTGTATTAGGTCATTACCGTCTTGAATGCATGCTTCGGTAACAGAACACCGGGGTGATTGTGTCTTAGTGGTTTAGATGTCTGACCTGAAAACATTACACCCCAGATTAATATTCCCGCCCCTTGTTGAGGTTTGAGCATCCTGGTAGCACCCCCATTAGAATGCAGCCGCTTGCGTTTGCGCGAAGTATCGATGCATGGTACTAGTGCATTTCAGTGTAAAGCTTCGCCTGTTGATCAGTTTGACAGTATACAAACGTTGAAAGACGCTATGTGGAACGGTATTCTGGACATGGGAAATGGTTTCTGTTTCCCGTTAATTGAGGGGCCTTCGAAGCTCCAACACAGATAAGACGAACTCAGCTTAAACAAGCCCCCGATTCCTCTCCCTTAACCCTTCCAAGTGTTGTGATGTCACGTTCTGTTTTCTGCGTTCCCTTGTAGATACCTCTAGATGTGATGAATTTCATCCTATACCATTCAAATCCCCCTAATACTCCTTTTTAATCAATACGCAGATCAAATAATGTCATAAGTAAATTTGAAGCTTAGGTTTAGAAATTTGCTCGCTTGGTGAAGAGGCCACCTTATCCTTTGCACACTAACCTAAGAGGTCATTTCCTGAAACTGACAATACAGTATAGCCAGCTAGAATGCCGTAGAAATTTCTTTTCCCTCCGCGTGTGCCAGCCTTGGAACGCCCTCCTTTATTATGTCGTCTCTGCTCCCAATCTGGCGATATTTGAAAAACGAGTTGACGATGTGTTGTCTTATGTACATTTCATTTATGAGTTGTTAGCCAGGGGCTACAAAACGCAATCAACCGGTGTCTCACCAAATTCCCATCCAATGAATTTGTACGTTTAGTACGCGAACATCCCCACTATTCTACATAAGTCTATGCTGAGTCCACCAAAACGCTTTTCACTTTATCATGCAATCCACTTTTCGCGATAATTTCTATCCCACGTGACTCGTTAAGCAATGCTTTTTTACCCGTAATAAACCATTGTTCCATTAACATGCAAGTCACTGGATAGTGAATGGCGCTATACCACATCTAGTAGCTTAGCCACGTCGGTCGTTACCGTCATCCGTAGTCCGGTGGTCTACACCACGGACTGGTAGCAGTCGGGTTGCGGGATCTAGCCCCACATGGGTCAGATGGAATGCACACTACTGACGATTCCCGAAAGGATGAAACAGATGTACAGTGCTTTTCCGGGCGTGTGATGGCTACCTTACTAAGCCTAGATGTTATGAATTTCTATCTACACTATTGTTGGGATAATAAGCTAGTGCTAGCACAGCGCAGTTATGCCGTGTCGGGCTTGTGAGATGCGGCGGTCATTGGCCAATTTCGAACACAGCCATAGATCGATGTGCCAAGTCAGTTGACTGATTCATGAACATGGGGAAAATAATGTTTTGCACAAGTGCTTTCTATTGGCACAATTCTTGCTGCAGCTTTTTGATTCCGGTGGCTTCCGCAGGGACCAACATACGTTCTGTGAGTCATTTCGGAGATTCTCCTTATTTGTCTGTATAAAATATTATTAAAATATAATGTCATTTTCTTGATTTCAGAAGGTTTTGAATACAAATCGGTTTTCGTAAGGTTTTATTATGACAACGTTTCGCTCTTGACACAAGAGCTTCTTCAAGCCAGGTGAATCGGTACACAATTGGCTTAGCTTTTTATGGGAACGTAAGGTTGCAATGTCATTTTGTACCTAGACAACTTAGGAAGCTTGCCTGTTCGAACGATGACTACGTATGTTTGAGTTATCCAGACGAATCGCATTTTGCGCGCTTCTGGTTTTCAGCCTCGAAAAGCGTTTGCTGCGTTTCGACTGGCGACTATATCTTTCCCCATAACTAGAACCTTTTTATTGTGCTTTCAGCCAGCGGGATCGCACGTTTCGATAATAATCGTCTATCTCGCCCATATATTCGTCTTTTTCCGATTATTGCATAAGGCGGGACGAACCTGAGTTTATAGCGACCGGCCGATTCCACTATAGCTGGTGACTCGGACCGAAAATTTGGTAAGACGCTTACTAATTTGTTTCAGGTTCGTTAACTCCTGTGGTGCGTTCGCCCGTTTCTTGTTTTCTATCGCTTACATCGTATCTTCTTTTGCCATGGATGCGTGTAACCCAGTTCCCGATGGCCAGGTTGAAACTGTAACCATCGCCATTTCGTGAAAACAGTCTAATACATTGGTTTGCTCAGTTAAAAGTACTTTTCGAACTGCGTAGCATTCGATCTGAAAGGATCAAATATTTCCACGTCGTCTCCGCGCTTCTTCCGCACGACATCGACAAGATCTTCGATCTGCCATCTGATAGAAAACAAAAGCAGCGGTTCTCAAAAGATCTGGTCTTTCAGATCGTCAGCGTGTCATAAAGCTTCTGGGCGAAACGGAGTTGGATGACCTCAAGCCATTGCAGCTATTTCGAACGATGCAAAGTTTAGCCAAACCCGCCATGGTAGACGACGCATTTCTCAAGGAAATGTGACTGCGTAGATTGCCGCGTGAAGTGTGCAACATACTCTACTCTATGTTGGCGCACCACTGACACTGATGGCCAATATCGCCGATCAAGTTTGGGTATCGTATGGGCAGATTTACACGTTCGATCTACGCCGAATGACGACATCGCAGAAATGAAAGCGCAGCTCGCCACACTCACCAAGAAGTTTGCCGATTTCACAACTTCTGGGAGTAGCTGCCGATGCCGTTCATCAAGTCGCCAACTTCCAACACGATCAAAATCTCCGTTGAAATCACCGCGCCGAACCTCTTCATACTGCTGGTATCACCAACGATTTGGCCCACTGGCCCACCATGTTCCTTCGAATCGGAATGCGTAGGGAAACGGGTCGACCAGCAAGTAGGGGCGACCGATGTAGCTGGTTAACGTAGTCGCATATTCTTCGTCACCGATCGACAAACATGAGTTCGCTGTCTCGTCGATACTGGCGCAGAAGTCAGTGTCATTCCTTGTGATACTAACGATGTAATCGGAAAGGTGACTGGCACTCTACACGCAGCAATGGAACCAGCATTCGCGCATACGGTCAGCTCTCACGCACACTGAACCTCGATGTGTGTCGTTCTTTTCGATGGCTATTCTTCGCTGCTGACGTCCAAAATCCCATAATCGGGATGGATTTTCATCAGCACTTCGACTTGCTTGTCGACGCTAAACGACAACGTCTTATCAATCAGACAACGAAAATTTCCATCGCTAGAATATCCAGCGATGTTACATTGCTCAGGCCGGTGTACGCTACCGCCAACTCACCGGGCGGCAAATCGCTACTGGATAGTTTCCCAGAAGTCTTCCGACCTACGTCGCTTCTGTCAAACGCCACCGCAGCTACACCGCATCCCATAGTTACCAAGGGTCCGCCCGTCTCCGCCAAAGCCCGAAGACTGACTCCGGACAAGCTCAAAACCGCCCGTGCAGAATTCGAGCACATGCTCGAACTTGGGATCGTCCGACCGTCCAACAGCCCTTGGTCTTCGCCACTTCACATGGTGCCGAAAAAGTTAGGAGATTCTTCATCGTGTAAAAATTATCACGCCCACATCAACGTAACAGTTCTGGATTGATATTTTCACATACAGAATATCACGGTCTTCATGGCGCTCGTGTGACTCCAAAGATCGATCTGGTGCGAGCTTATCATCAGATCCCGGTTGCCGACGAGGACATACCGAAAACCGCCGTTATCACACCATTTGAATTGTTCAAGTTTCCACGAATGCCATTCGGTCTGCGCAGACATTTCAACGCTTCATTGACTCCGTCGTACGTGGACTCGATTTCCTCCACTCATACATCAATGTCTTGGTGGCCAGTTCATCGCATCTACGACTCTTGTTCGAACGGCTGAGGACGCACAACCTCACCCTGATAGGTGTATTTTCATGCAGCCGCGCATTGAGTTACTCGAACACCGACTTCATTCCGAGGGTATCCGCCGTTTGCAGGACAGAGCCCAGGCAATTCGACGCTTCAACGTCATGGTCAACTACTATCGCTGATTCCTACCACGCTGCGCCGAGCTTATGCAACTGCTCAAGTATCTTCTGTGTGGGCACAATAAGGAGAAAGTTGATCTTACGCCTGGAGCACAAAAGGCATTCGAAGCCAGCAAAGAAGCACTAGCTTCCGCCGTCATGCTTCATCACTTCGACTCGGACGCTCCGATCAGTGTAGCCGTCGACGCATCGAAAACGCAATCGGTGCTGTTCTACAGCAGTTTTC